ATGCCGATGATATTGACATCATTGGCCGCAGCAAGCGTGATGTCACTGCTGCATTTTCGGCTATCGAAAAAGAGTCGGCAAAAGTGGGTTTGGCGGTAAACGAGGGCAAGACGAAGTATATGCTGTCTACAAGCAGGGAGGCGCGGCGCCTAGACTCACATATGGTAGCGGACAGCTATACCTTCGAAGTGGTCAAGGAGTTCACGTACCTTGGCACTGCCATTAACACCGAAAATGACGTCAGCCTGGAGATCAAGCGAAGAATCACACTTGCCAATAGGTGCTACTTTGGTCTGAGTAAGCAAATGTGCAATAAAGACCTCTCTCGCCGAACAAAACTAACACTCTACAAGACACTCATCCTACCCGTGCTTTCATATGGCGCAGAAGCATGGGTAATATCACTGACGGATGCAGCAGCGCTTGGAGGGTTCGAGAGAAAAATTCTTCGCAAGATCTTTGGTCCCGTTCGGATTGGGCACGACTTTCGCATTCGGATGAACCACGAGCTGCACGAGTTGTACGACGACGTGGACGTGGTCCGGCGCATCACGATACAACGTCTGCGCTGGCTCGGCCACGTTGTGCGTATGGATAAAGAATCTCCAGCTCAGAAGGTGTTTGAAGCGAGGGTCGACTACGGGCGACGACGAAGGGGACGACCAAAGCTCCGATGGAAGAACCAAGTGGAGGAGAACCTGACTGCACTGGGAATTTCCGATTGGAGAAGGCGCGCGAGGAGCAGAGGCGCCTGGAGGGAGACGCTGAGGTCGGCCAAAACCCGAATCGGGTTGTAGTGCCACCTAATAATAATAATAATATGCGGAACCCAAACATCGAGCTTGCTTACGTACCCAAGTTTCTTCAAATGGTTTTCAACCGTTTTATGCGACACTTTGAGCTTCTCTGACATCTCCCGCGTTGAATAACGCCGGTTTTCATCCAGCAAAGCCTGAATTTGTTCATCAAAAACGGCCGTTGGTCGACCAGAACGTGGGACGTCTTTAACTCCAAAATCTCCAAGCCTGAATTTGGCAAACCAGCGCTGACATTGGCGATCACTCATGGCATCTTTACCATACACTTGGCACAATTTTTCGCTAGCTTCGACCGCTTTTTTTTCCCTCTTTTGGAAGTAAAAAAGCAAAATATGCCGAAAATGCTCACTTTGGTCCTCCATGTTTAATTTGCTTTAGCTTCCACAAATGTTATCGATAGTAAATTTTCGTCGATAGTACCTAAGACAATAAGCTTTAAAAAGATACTAAAAAGTGTGACCCTGGTGCTCGATTAGTCGTAAATAAATTAGATTAAAAACGATTACTAAAAAAAACGACATGACTTTCTTGCCAACCCAATAGTTTGGGGAGTTTTGGTTTAGTTTTGTAAACATTAAATTTGTATGTTTAAATCATAACACCACCTGTTACTTAAGAACTAGTGAAATGTTCAAGAGGGGGCTTAGCTGAGGCCACCAGGCGGGTCGCAGGTTGCGGATAGCGAACGGCCTTTTTTATAAGGTTAGTTGTGAATAAGCGCAAGCTAATAAGCAACCCCGGGCATACAGCGGGTACACCGAAGTCGGTGTACTGATAAGACGCTTCTCTGGCCGACTTCAAATTGTAGCCCCACACACCCCTCTTCCCTCACAATTACCTACCACCTTCCCTCCGCACAATCTCACTCCGGTGCCGGACTAAGGTGTCATCCGACCCGTGACGATAGTCAGCCTGGCCCAGTCTCTCACGGAGGGTTCAGGCAAGTGGCGACCGCCTGTCCTAACTGCGCCTTACCCGGGTATGGCGGATCTCTGCCCGGGCGGACCTTATATTCTCCGCAACTCGTGGGATTAGAACATAAAGAAGAGCAACATCAACAAGTTACCGCAGGACGTCCCTGCCTCGAGTGTCGCAAGACATTTCGAAAACCAACTCCTCGACGGGGAGGGACCACAGGTGGGACCAGCCCCACCCAGGAGCGCAGCCACCGCCAGGAGTGCGTCACGGACGCAGAATGTGGGACAGACCCCACAATGGTCCAGAGGACAACCGGGAGGCCTAGACGACCCCAACAGGAGAGGCCTGCCGGGGTCCAAGGTCAAATGGAACCTTAGGTACCTTCAGCAGGGGATGACCCCTGATGAGGCAATAAAGAAAGCGAAGTAACCTCGACCAGCGGCACTAAACACTGCACCTGCCAGCGAGCGGGCAAACAGAACTCTCACCCCTCCGATGGATACCCCGAATAGGTCCAAGTCAGAGGGCACCAAAGAAGCAGCGGCACCCCCCACCCGTCCCCCAAGGCTTGATGAGCCAAGCACATCGAAGGCGGCGGCGACGAGGAGTCCCCCCTGAGGCATCTGCTGACATACCCAGCGTGTCGAAGGCGGGTGGTAAAGATGGAAAACAGCCACCCTCCACCTCTAGTGCTCCTCTCACTGGCACACGCACTTCCTTCGCGGAGACCGCCAAGAGAGGCAGAGTTGCGATACTACCTGAGACTTCCTGCAGGTATACCTGAGTAACGAAGAACTTGCCGAGCTGGAGGAGGCTATCATGGACGATGTAGTCCACAGGAAAGTTACCAGCGATCGCCATAGAGTCGGCGTATTTTGCTGGGGACGCAGCATGCCCACCACCGGAAATCATCGGACTCGTGGAATGCTGCAGGAAGAAGAAGATGCCCCTGGTCATAGGATGTGACGCCAACGCACATCACGTGATATGGGAAAGCACCGACGCCAACAACAGAGGTGAGCAGCTTATAGATTTCATTATAAATAGTAACCAAGAAATCGGCAATGCCGGTCCACACCGACATTCATTACTAGAGTAAGAGTGGAGGTCCTAGACATAACTCTGATGAGCAGGTATTTATGACCACTTATTAAAAACTAGCATGTGTCGCCAGAGGAATCAATGTCGGATCACCGAATCATTAGATCTAAATTAGACTCCAACGCCGCTAGGGACGCCCCCAAAAGAACCCCAAGAAAACAAAATGGGATTGGTTCAGGTCCTCTCTTGAGCTCAATCTCTCTAACGAACCGTCAGGTATACCCAGACATTCTTTAGAATTAGATCAGGTAGTGGATAACCTCTGCAAGAAGATAGCCAATGATTTTAAGGACAGTTGCCCTCTTGGCAGACGGAAAGCAGAAAGAGACGCCCCATGGTGGAACGCAACCTGGAACGGCTCCGCATCTCCACCCACCGGCTCTTCAACAGAGCTAAAACGAGCGAGGATAACTAGCGACAATATAAGCAAAGCCTGACGCTCTACAACAAAGAGATCATGAAGGCCAAACGGAAAAACTACAGAGACTTCTGTGAGGCAATCAGCACGGCCCATAAAGTGGCAAGATTGCACAAGGCTATGGCCAAAGCTGGACCAGAAAGTAACCTAGCCCTGAGGAAATGTAATAACACCTACACTTCGGACATCAGGAATAAACTAGCATTACTCTTCGAAACACACTTCCCTGGGAGCTCACCCCTAGTGGAGAATGCGTCCACCCCACTAGAAGTAGTGTCCACTCCGAGACACCCCAGATCGAGCGCAGAGAACTAGGCAATTGCCAAGTCTCTAGTCTCTCCGGAGAGACTTTAATGGGCAATTAGGACCTTCCAACCATTTAAGTCACCAGGTCTGGATGGTATCTCACCATCATTCCTGCAGAAGGGACTGATCCTACTTCAAGGCCGCTTAAGGAAACTAATGTTGAGTAGCCTAGCAATTGGACACATCTCAAATGCGTGGCGTAGAGCTAGGGTTGACTTTATCCCCAAAGCAGGGAAGAAAGACATCACCAACCCAAAGTCCTTCAGACCTATCCGTTTTACTTCGTGTTGTCTTAAAACATTGGAAAAGTTGGTAGACTATCATATTGGGAGCACAGTTCTCAAACACTGTCCGCTACAATCCACGCAGCACGCATACAGGGCAGGTCGTTCAGCTGACACAGCACTATACCAACTTTGTCACAACCTTGAAGGGGCAGTGGACACCAAAGAAGTAGCAATCTCCGCCCTTCTAGATATAAAGGGAGCCTTTGACAATGCGTCGCATGATGCTGTCTTAGCGGCCCTTGCCAGAAGGAATATTAATGCAACAACAAGAAGATGGGTTAGAGCTTTGCTAAGCTCCAGACAGGCAATGGCGACAATTGGTACTAGCACAATGACCGTCGCAACAAGCAGAGGATGTTCGCAAGGTGGAGTTTTATCTCCTCTACTGTGGAGCCTACTAGTAGATGAACTACTAAGAAAACTCACCGATAGAGGAATCCAATGCCAGGGCTATGCCGATGACATAGTAATAGTAGCCAGAGGGAAATTTGAAGAAACGCTTTGCGATGTTGTACAACTCGGAGTCAAGTAACGCTTGACTAGTGCAGGGAAGTTGGGCTTAAACTCAACCCCGCAAAGACAGTCATTGTTCCTTTTACTAAGAAGTATAAGCTACAGACAATGAGACAAATCATGCTACTAGGTACTCCCGTAGCAATAATCCGGGAAGTCAAGTACCTCGGAGTTACCTTCGACAGAAGTTGATAAGTGCCTCAGGGGTCTCTTCACCTGCCGGAAAATTGCACGGAAATCTTGGGGGACATCCCCCAAAATCATCGGATGGCTATACCTTATGATTGTGATTCAGTAGCCTGGGGTAAAAGCGTGAGGCTCATTACCGCACAGAAACAGCTACAAAAGCTGCAAAGATTGGCGTGCATATGTATGACAGGAGCAATGAGCACTTGCCCCACTACGGCATTGGAAGTTCTCATGGAACTTACTCCGCTCGACTTCGTAGTAGAAACAGCGGAAAGCCACCCTGTTCAGAATCACTTCTTCTAGTAATGGCAGCGACCGCATCCTCAGCTCTAGGGATGCAGCAAAACCACTAGTTCCCTGAGTTCACACCCCAGGGACGAAATGACAGTAGAATTCATCTTCGAAAAGAGTTTCTCTGCTCATCTGAGCAACAAGAAAGAATGGACCACCATGAAGGAAGTACACTCCATGGCTAGTCACAACATAGCGTGGTATGGTACGGACGGGTCCCTAACACACCAAGGCACTGGCCTTGGAGTAATAGGGCCACGAATCAAGTACCATGAATCTTTAGGACAACACACCAGCATATTCCAAGCTGAGGTGTGTGCCATAGGACGGTGTGCAGAGCTCAATATGAAGCGCGGGTACACAAACAAGGACATTACGATCCTCTCGGTCAGTCGAGCGGCAATTACTGCATTCCTTAGTAATAGAATCACCTCGAGGCTGGTTCGAGAAGTAAGAACAAAGTTAAACCTTCTGGGCAGCAACAACAGGCTGTCATTAAGATGGATTCCAGGACATAAAGACATATCCGGAACTAGCCGACAGGTTAGCAAAACTAGGGGCGGAACGACCCCTTATAGGACCCGAGCCTTATTGTGGCATAGGCAGACACACAGTCAAAGATTACCTAAGAAAGGAAGAGGTACATATGAGGCAAGCCTGCTGGGAGAACACCGCAGGCCAAAGACAAGCCAAACTCCTCATCGTCAATTATGGCATGAAGAGGCTTAAGAAACTTATACCACTAGGGAAGAATTTACTTAGGGTAGTTACCGATTTACTAACCGGATATTGCAGACTAAGGAGACACCTATGTAATATAGGGATTGCAAAGAGCAAGACATGCAGATTCTGTGATAGCGAGGATGAATCCTCCCTACACATAATATCAGATTGCCCAGCACTAAGTAGCCTGAGGAGCAGAACCCTCGGGACCAGGTTCCTTACACTCGGGACCACCGGAAGCATCGACTCAACAAAGCTCCTTGATTTTATCGGAGGTGCTGGGTTTCTGGGGGAGCTTTAAGCTCAGATAGGGGGTACAATAGATCCAGTTGGGTTGAGGTAGCCAATTTCCCAAATAACACCAAATTAATTCTGTACTTCCCCGAATCTCTTTCCGACATGTATTTTTTGCACTAAGTAAATAAGTCAGAACGGGCTGGATTTAAAAAAAAATTTAATCCGAAATACAATAGAAGTTAGAAAACGCCATCTGGATGAAATCAAGTCGAACTGATCAAAAATATCGGCGTACGAATTTTTTATTTCATTCTCTCGTATGGGAGCTATCCGATATATACTGTCTTATATATGTACTGCGTGCAATAACTACACACCTTTTGAGATAGTTTAAGCAAAATACAAAATTTTAAAACTGAGAGACTAGTTTGCGTAGAAACGGACAGGAGGACAGACGAACAGACGTATAGACGTATTTTGATTCTGATCGTGATGCCGAGTATTAAGAATAATGATCATGAATATATTGTATGTTCTTTATGTGCTCCAAGGTATCTCCTTCAATGCGTTGCAAACTTCTGACTGAAATTATAATTCCCTTTGCTCTGCAAAGGAATCAAAACGCATATATGCAATATTATTTAGAAACAAGCCCCTTAACATAAGCACCCATCCTCAAAATCCATTCTCTAATTAGCTCAAGGCCCTTTTCGCTATAGCTCAAATTTTTAAGTTATTTAATTTTGGTTTAACTGTAAATAATAATACAGTCGAATCCCGATAATTCGTACCCCGCTAAATCGAAAATCGCAATAATTCCTAAAATATTCTGTTCCCTTGAAAAAAAGTGCCTTGAAAAAAATCTCGATAAATCGAATTCCCGTCTAATTCGTAAAAAACAGTGATCCCCTTGCCATTTCGAATTATCGGGACTCGACTGTAATAATAATATTTTTTTTTCCCCAGGGGCAGTTAGCTTAAAAACAAAATTACATTTTCGACTTTTATTTTTAACTGCCAAATTTAAGTTGTCTTTCCTTTTTATACCCTTGCAGAAGTTTCCTTTCAGTCAGAAGTTTGCAACGCAGTGAAGGAGACACCTCAGACCCTATAAAGTACATATATTCTTGATCACGATCTGAATCGAAATCCGTCTGTCCGTCGGTCCGTCTCTCCGTCTGTCCATCTGTCCGTCTGTCCGTCTGTCTGTTTCTATGTAAACTAGTCTCTCAGTTTTGAAGCTATCTTTCTGAAACTTTCCCAAAAGTTGTGTAGTTATTGCACGCAGTATATAAGTCGGAACGAGCCGGATCGGCCGACTTTATCGGATAGCTCACATACGAGAGATTAAAAAAAAAATCTCAATCCGTTGTTTTTGATCAGATCGACTTGAGTTCTTCCAGATGGCGTTTTATAACTACTATTGAATTTCGTTTTAAATTATATCGAAATCGGATAACTCTATCATATAGCTGCCATAGGAGACACCAAAAAATATATATAGAATTAATGGAAATTAATTGATAACGTCATTGTTTTTCATCACACGAGTGAGTTTTTTAACTTGCCTTGATTTATAAAAAAAATTTCATAAAAATCGGACAACTATATCATATAGCTGCCATAGGAAATATCGAAAAATCTATATAGAATTAACGGAAATAAAATGATAACATCGTTAATTCTCATCAGAAAATCATGATTTTTGGAATATAAAGTTTTCTAACGACTGTTGAATAACAAAGCAAATTTTATCAAAATCGGACGACTATATCATATAGCTGCCATATGAACAATAGTCAAAAATATGGAAAACTAGCTGCCCGTCCCAGCTTCGCCCGGGTTTTTTTTTAAGTTGCAAAAATTATGTTTGTTGATTATTTGCGGGAAGTAAGAAACCAATTCTGTGATACACCTGTCCTTGGATGGTAAAATTAGGTGAAAATCCAAGCATTACGACCTCCTTATCTACTTCAAATTACGTCATCTGAAAGCAAGAATTATACCTTCTAATCCTGCTTAAAAACCGGCGGGATTCGTTACTGTCGTATAAAAGTAAAGATTTGAGAGGTTCCTCTGGCTCGCCAAGTAATGGAATTTTTACCTTTCCACCAGAACAGCACATACCTGGAGTTTCTTCTTTCCATTTCAGTGCTTCACAATATCTGCATTTTTTATCCATTCTCCCAATGATATCCAATCGGTGATTAACATAGTCGATCAAAGGGTCATACTCAAAAGAGGCACCATTAAACGCCTCCCACGTTCTCATTGATAACGTACGTTTTCTTTCTGCCTGCCGCTCAGCATTTAAAAGACGTCGTCTTTGTGAATCTTCGTCAGACTCTGCCGCAAACAATTGTTCGGCATCCAGGGTCTGACTGGCCCGAGTCTGCGAATAGGTCTCAGAAGCTCTTTGAGTCGCATGACGCTGAGAATCTAACATCTGACGCGTCCGAGTCTGCTCTTCAGATTCTTGGCCTCTAGCAACTTTTGCAGCTCGAGCTCTGCTAGAACTACTGCTTATATTGGATTTACGTTTGGGTGGCATATCGAAAACAATAACGGGAGTTTTACAAACTACAACGTAAGACAATTTTTTTTATAAAAACTTTGATAAAGAAATCCTTTTTACTTAAAACGTAATGCCTACTGCCTACCCCATAAGAACGATTGCGTGATTATTCCGTTTCGCCACCTGCTGCTTACCACCTAAGAACGATGGCGTGATTATTTATAGCCTATTAGGATTTCTAGGTTATCCTCTATCACCATACCAAATTTCATCAAAATCCGTTCAGCCGTTTAGGCGTGAAAGAGTAACAGACAGACAGAAACATTTTCACATTTATATATTAGTATGGATTAATAGAAATGTTGTTTAGCCTTTGTGTATTCTGTTCGAAATATTTGCGGACTGCAAGGGTATATCAGCTTCGGCTTGCCAAAGCTAGCTTCCTTTCTTGTTTATTATTTTTTTTTGCGGATATTTTTCAAGCCTATGACCAATAAAATATTAACATAGAAACTTGGTTTAATTACTTTTTACAACTATTGTTCACGGTTCATTGTTCCCTTATATAATATAAAAATTAAAAATGACAATCTCCTCGTAGTTTTTGGATTCCTCTGGCCTTCATATGTCAAGAAGCTAGCTGTGCCAATGCTGGGTTTAAACTTGGAGAAAGTGCGCAAAAGTGAATTTCTATAAAAACTGACTATAATGGGAATAAAATTACTTACAATATATAAAAAAAAAGAAAAGAGACCATATAGTAGCTTTATTTAATGACTTTTTGAAAACGAGTTTTTTTTATTTATGGTGCATAATAGAAAATATGTGTAAAAATTAAGAATATAATAAATATTTTAAGGGAACCAACCTCTTATTTTAATTTTTCCCGCTTCATTACTGACAGTAGTACGCTGTGTAAGCTTGTGATGAGTTCGGCATCGATACTGTTTTAGTAAATCATTTTTACTAACATTATATACCAACAATTCACCAGTAAAAAGCATATGATGTTTGCCGTCTAAAATAAGGTAAGAATTATGTTCATTAATAAATTTGTTCGCCCTAACAAAAAAAACAATTTCTGACCTCCTTCAAGTGATGGGTATATGTTATAGTTCGGTTCTTGCAGCCATGAAGTTACTGTTACGTAGTCCTTAACATAAATGGGGATCAAACATTTTATGAGAACGTTGTTTCCTATAAACAAACTGGAGCTTTGGACCTCTGGGCTATAGTGATGTGAAAGAACTAAAAGCAAGTAATATGCATATATTAAAAAGTAAAATTTGTTTTATTGGATGATGTCAATACCTAGTAGAGATATGAAACAAAATTTGTATGTTAAATTATATTTAATGTACAAAAACTTTACAAATTTTAAAATCTGTTTTTTATCAGATACTGTGGCTATAAGGCGGGTAGCAGGTCACGCATAAGAAGCCAAGGAAAGTCAAATGGTATTTATGACACAAACCAAAAAACCTGTTAATTTAAATAACCACAATAGCGGGTGTCGTGCGTCAGGAAATTACGCTTAATTTTATTATATGTGGTCACCTGAAAAAAAAGTTTAAGCATAAAGAGAATACTTATGACAGTTTTATCAATGTTTTGTAACGAACTGCTTTTTCACTTTTTGCTCGCTACGTAGAACGCGCGGCTAGCTCACCAAACTATTGTTGCTGACTGGCCGATATATCGGTCCAAAGTCTGCGGATTACCCGTTCTGCACTGATTACCTTGGCGACTGGAGTCCAAGGTCCAGAGCGGTACCGTTATTTCCCTTTTGGTACATGCTTCTCGGCATCTAGCTCCTCCCACTGTTGCTATGCGGAGGTTCCCCTGCACTTGCATTTCTGGGGTGTTTTACAACTGCTTTTTTACTGTTTGCTCGCTACGCAGAACGCGCGGCTAGCTCAGCTGAGTACGTGTGTTTACCCCACCAAATTTATTGTTGCGTGACCCTTCGGATCTCAGCTTGGCAGTCTCAGCTATCTTAGTGGACGTGACCGTCGTTGGGCTTGTTGATTCTGCGATCACGATCCGGGTGACACTGGCACTTGGTTCTCACTGGGTTTCCACTCGCGATGGTACGATCATTTGCTTGACTTTCACTTGACGGTCCCTTGGCCTGCGTGCGTCCTTCTTATATACGCCGTATTGGTCCCGTTATCCTCTCCAGGCTCACATAATCGGGTTCAAAGTGCATCGAGGTCCCGTTAATTCACGGTGTCTCCTTGTTGTACGTGTCCCAAGTCCGCAGACTCACTGTTATATCGGTCCAACGTTATTTCCCTTTTGGGTACTTGCTTTTCCGCATGCAGGTCCTCTCGCTGTTGCCATGCACTTACATTTGTGGGGAGTTTTACAACTCCTCGCATATTCCCCTTCCTTCGAAAACTTTTTAAAAATTGGCCTCGGGAACGTCCCTGGGTACGCCTTTTAAATTCATCACTCGTCCAGAACGACTTCTCCTCCTGCATCCTCGATTCCTTCATATCCGCATACATCCCACATCCTGGTGCGGCACAGGCCTCTTCCGATCTCAGATGTATGGCCTCAGCTTATTAACCCCATCGGTTATGCAGCGTCTCAACTTTGGCGTCCGATCTTCGCTAACGCATCGCTTGCAACTCCTTCTTCATTCTAATGCCATTGTCGTACCTCCAAACTCCTCGATTCTCAGTGTCTGCTTCTTCTCTGAATTCAAAAAGGTTCTCGCCGACATGTGTTCCGCACATTATCGATAACTTTTCTTACGATCAATTATGGCGTTGCCACTCTTCACGGCTTCAGCCAAATTTGTATGACCGGCCAGCGATATTTCAGGTATTTCTTCAGCTTTCATTGATCACACTATAGATCAACCGCCATTATCATGGCGACCCTATTCATAATTCTCGCTGGCCTCGTGGGTTTGTTTTGGTAAGTATAAATTCATTTACTTTACCCATTACCCTTTTTTTGTGTTCTATCATTTTCCTTTCTCTTTCGAAAGGTCGAGCTGTTGTTGCTTTCCTGATATTCAGCGCCGGGGCGCCAACTCTGGCTCAGCGCGTCCCGGCAGGCGTATGTTTCGGGCAGCTGACCCAGCCTTCCCTCTTCCCTCCGCATGCCAGGCCGGGGACGGGGACTGTGACCCTAGCGGGGGGCGCCAGTAGCTGAAGGACCGGGGACCAGTGCCGGCGCCTCCACTTCGCCCCTGGCTGTTGTTGTTTAGTTGTCCCGATTGGTCCGAGATTGATATTGTCGTTGCTTGTATGTTTGCAGCCTTATAGCATTCTACCTCTACATATTTTAAGTCATTTTTGATTATGATTGCTGTGCCTCCATGGGCTTTGTTGTCTGGGTGGTTTGTGTAGAATATGTAGTCAGAATGTATAGTTGTTCGAGCATCTATTAAGAGTATTTCGTAGGAGACAAAGAGTGTGCTTAATGCAGTTTTCTACGCTCTCGAGACGTCCCAGAAGCATAAAAAAAAAAAAAAATTTACATTCTTTTACTCCACCCGTGAGCTTAGAGCCTCTACAATTTCTTGCAGAGGATTCATTATCATAGATTTTCGATCGTACCGGTGATAAGCCAGTAGCGACTTATCCTAACGGTGGGGTTGCCACCTGGCGCCATCTAGGAGTGACGAAAGTTTTATTGTTGGGTCCATAGTAACGTGGACGAGGGGGGTGTGCGGGTCCGGGGAGCCGAAATTTGTTACTAATGTTAAGTGAGCGATAGAGCATAGAAGTGGTGGAGATTTGGAAAAAGAGACCGTTTCTTTTTCTCGGGGACTCGAACCCGGGCCTTCCGGACCGGAGGCCAGCGCTCTACCTGCTGGGCCACCGTCCCCCCCAGAAGCACAAAAGACGAATGCCAAAATCCGACAAACCACTCTTTGGCAAGCGGTGTTCGGTGCTGGTCGGCCTGTGTCTTTGATTTTATACCTTGAAGAACCCTAAAATTTTGATATAACTTAACCTTCGTAATTAAATCAGTTGTTTTTGATATCTAGTGAAATTTGTTAAATAAACTTAATCTTGAAGTTACTTCGGTTGTACCTATTTTTTCTCTTGTCGAATGAAAGTCCCCAGAGCGGTAGACGCTCAGCATTGACAATTTAGCATTTGTCACAACATTTTTGGTGGCCCATGAGGGGAACCATTTGATAATAACTTCGTGATTACATTTGAAATTAATTTTCAACAGTTATCTGCCCATAAATTGGCAAAAGTGGTTCTTTGTGTGTTCATAAAAATCTAAAAGTTCAGTGCCAGCACGCACCCAAAAAGAGTCAGCCAAATACCAAACCTAATTGGTACATAGACGCCGTTCTTAAGTTACCGGCGTCTCTGTCTATACTTTGTGCTTTCGTATGATCGGCCGAGTGCAACGGCCACATACCCGTACATATATACGTCACGTCGCTGGACTGCTAGAAGCGCAGCTGCAGTGATTCGCTAAATATCGGCGTCTCTCTTTCAACATTTGCCTCGTTGGATGATCGGCCGAGTGCAACGACCACATACACCCACGTCACTTCGCTGGACCGCTGGAAGCGCAGCTGCAGTGCCAAGCAAATCACCGCCTTGCTTTCGCCTTTGTCGCTCTACGCTGCCTGGCGGACGACAACAACAACAAACGTTAAACGCTAACGACTGCGAAACACAAGGTGTTCTTGCACAGAAAGGGTGAGTGTTTTGTTATTTGCATGCTTGTATGTTGGTCATAGATTGAGTGCAATTATCTTTGCGTCAAATGGAGAAAAACGAAAGTGAACTAGAGGTCTCATTGGAGAGAGCGGGTTATGAAGATCTCAGTGCTCTTCAATTTGATATTCTTACACGATTAACACAGCTGCATACGAATTTTAAAAAAGATAGTGCAGCTCGAAAAACCAAAGCTTATTTTCAACTCCGTCGCGATAAATTAGAAGAACTTTCTAGACAATTTAATGAAAATCACCAATTGATTGTTATTTCCAAATGTCCGCGTACGCATGCGTATTTTAAAAATGCAATTGAAGATAAGTTTGAGCAAAGTTATACCACGGTGTTTTTGTGCTATTTTGGATGCCTACGATGCCCTGCTGACAACAACAAATACTGATACAACAGTTGGAGCTCCGAGCCATAATTCTACGGTGGTTTCTACAGCAGTGTCCTCAGTTCAGCTCCCTAAGTTACCGGTTCCCACTTTTTCTGGCAAACATACAGATTGGCCAGCATTTTTTGATGTATTTTCACAGCTGATAAACGAGAATACGGCACTTTCTAGCATTCAAAAATTCCATTTTCTTAAGCAAGCTTTGCCAGGTGATTGCGATCAGGATGTCCAGCAAATAAATTTGACGGAAGCAAACTATGCAGTGGCCTGGAATCTCATCGTTAGGAGGTATAATAACCCAAGGTTGTTATTCATGCACCACATGAATGCCCTATACGACTTGCCTGTCATCGTCAAGGAATGTTCAACGGAATTCAAGCACTTACTCAACGTCACCAATGAGTGTATAAACGAATTCAAGCGTCTCAAAATCGCAATCTCAACTTGTGACCATTGAATAGTGCATCATCTCGCGATGAAACTCCCATCAACTACTCTCCAAGCCTGGGAGCATCACCTGGGCAGCTCAGGAGAAATTCCAACCTTTTCGATGTTCGAAAATTTTCTAAACAATCGCCTTGTCAGCATCGAAATGATAGAAAGTCGCAAAGGGAACCCATCAGCAAAACCCACATCGGTCCAAAATGCATCGCATAAACCGTCATACAAGCTTCCGAACAACTCTAACAACAATAACATACATAAACGCGGCAGCTACCATACCACGAGCGGTACCAATTCCGCAATGCGTTGCACTCATTGTAGTGGCAACCACATTTTAAGGCGTTGTCCAGAGTTCTTGTCAAAAGATTGTTTTGCTCGAAAACTGATAGCGGAAAACACCAAGGTTTGTCTGAATTGTTTAAGCCCTTACCATAATTGGTCTCAGTGCAGTAGTACAAAGAATTGTTCTCAGTGTGGTCAACGGCACCACACTCTTTTACATTTTCCTAGTCAGCCTAATAATGCTAGATCTAATGTTCTACAGCATCAGACAACGAGGGAGTCATCCTCATCGGCAAGCTCAATTCAAGCCAACACAACTCAGCTCGTGAGTGCAATGGCCTCGTATAAGTCACCCACAGTGATTCTAGCGACGGCACTGGTTCGACTGCACAACAACATCACTGTCAGTCTATGATAGTACGCGCTTTAATTGATCACGGCTCCGAGGGAACTCTTGTTACGGAAAATGTCGTCCAAGCCCTTGGACTAAAGCGATTCCCCGTTTCTGCTGAAATCACGGGAGTTGGCGAAAACTCAACAAATAAGTGCAAGCATCGCACGGGGTTTACATTAAGCTCATGTATACACCCTCAGTTCCACATGTCAGTGGATACGGCGTTTGTGCTTCGCTCTTTAACATCGCCTCTGCCAAGGATGAATATCCACCTGCAAAACTGGTCGCATATCCAAGGACTCGAATTGGCAGATCCTACCTTTACGCGATCCGGTCGAATCGACTTACTGATTGGCGTGGATGTCATACCTCAGCTCATGCTGTCTGAAGTTCGGAAGGGAGCTCAGGATCAACCAATAGCTCAGCGCACACAACTGGGTTGGATTGTATTTGGTAAGACAAACCAAATACTTTCGCATGCCATATCCATTCGATGCCATCAGACAAATTTGGAGTCTTTGGTCAATAAGTTTTTTGAACTAGAGAAAATTCCCGAAACTCGACAGTTGACAGCAGAAGAACAATGGTGCGAGGATCATTTCAAACGCACGCATACACGTCAACCCAATGGGAAATATATGGTTCGGCTCCCATTCAAGACGCAGTTCGATTCCTCGCAAGTTCTTGGGAAATCTCGGCAAATAGCCCTTGATCGCTTCCATATGTTGGAGCGCAAGTTTCAAAAACAACCAGCGTTACATCAGCAATATTCAGCCGTCATCCAAGAGTATTTTGATCTCAACCAGATCATCGAAGCTGCAAGCACTGAGGAGCAACATCGGACTCACACGCCATTGGGGCAGGTCGGTTTTGCGGCATGCACTCTGCCTCATCACGCTGTACTAAAGGAGGAGAGTACCACCACCAAATTACGCGTGGTCTATGATGCGTCTTGCAAAACTTCCAATGGCCGTTCTCTCAACGATGTCCTTTGTACAGGCCCCGCGTTGCAGAATGATCTTGGGGGAGTCATACTAAACTGGCGCATGCATCGATATGTTTTTGCGGCAGATATCCAAAAAATGTACCGATGCATAGACATGCACCCGGATGATGCCCAGTTTCAACGGATTTTTTTGGCGAAACGAACAGGATCAAATTCAGGAATATTGTTTAACTACAGTGACCTTTGGAACTGCGTCGGCTCCATATACGGCCATCAGGATTATGCATCAACTAGCTCAGGATGAAAGTGTGAGATATCCATTGGCACAACATGTACTGCAAAAGGAAATATATGTTGACGAAGTTCAAAGTGGTCATGACACCGTTGATGGAGCCATCAAAATTCGAGAGGATCTAATTGCTGCACTTCAATCCGCTGGCATGTGTCTCAGGAAATGGGCCTCTAATCATCCTGACTTGCTGGTTAACATTGCGCAAGAACATATGTCGAATTCAACCATTTTAGAAGTCGACAATCATGATTTAATAAAAACACTTGGTTTTTATTGGCATCCTAAAAGAGATGTTTATGGCTTTCATATAAAATTCAAAATTAGTCAAGAATTTACTAAACGAGCATTACTTTCCACAGTGGCCCGGTTGTACGATCCATTAGGATTTATTGTGCCAATTATCACAACTGCCAAAGCAATTCTGAAGGACGTCTGGAGTGTTCGTATTGAACGTACTGCTGGAGTTTCCTCGCCATTAGAGTGGGACGAAACACTTCCTCTAGATTTACGCGAACGCTGGAACGATTATATCACGAGATTACCAGATGTCGAGGCAATCCAAGTACCTCGGTGGTTAAATGTTCAACGTAGCAGTCTAAAATCTCTTCAACTCCATGTATTTAGTGACGGATCGACCATTGCATATGCTGCGTGTGCGTATCTCAGAGTTCAATGGATGGATGATACTGTACTCATTTACTTACTGCACGTAGTCGCGTTACACCCACGAAGCCAATGACAATTCCGAGAGTGGAGCTTTCTGGTGCCCTGTTAGCCACCCAGCTGGCAAAGTGGTGCTGCCAACAGCTACATTTACAAGACCAAGCAATGTCGGTTCATTTTTGGTCCGATGCAATGATCATACTGTACTGGATTAATGGAGATCCAATGCGCTTTAAGACTTTTGCTGCCAATCGAGTGGGACAAATTTTGGAATCAAGCGTACCGTCGTAGTGGCGACACGTGCCCACTGATACGAACCCCGCAGATTGCGCCACCCGTGGTCTTACCCCAACGCAGCTGGCAAATCACGAGTTGTGGTGGTGTGGCCCACCATGGTTACAGCTACCGGATACGCAATGGCCAACTAATCGCTTGGATCCACCGGAGGATAACGTTGCCAATCAACACTCACTTGTACCACTTCGATTGATGAATCAATCATCACCTCATTTTCTTCCTATAACAGACTCATCTTTGTTGTGGCCTATATGCTACGTTTTGTACACAATTCCAAATCTGCATTGGCATTGCGTCGAACAGGCCCAATAAAGACACACGAGTTTCAAGATGCCATGCTTCAAGTCATTCGACTGGTGCAGCGGGAAGCGTTTCCATGTGAGATTTCTAGATTACAATCAAATAAATCCTTATCTGGTTCTAATAAACTTAATCAGGTATGTCCTTTTGTAGATCAGCAGAGTATCTTGCGGGTGCGAGGGAGATTAAAGAATGCTTTCCACATCTCTGCTAACCAACGCATTCCGATCATTCTACCCAAGTCACATCACTTCACTAAGCTTGTAATCCGAAATGCTCATCATAATACACTACATGGAGGAATGGATCTCACACTAGCGACTATTCAACAGATTTTCTGGATTGTAAACGGAAAACAAGCAGTGAAACGAGTCCTACGTAAATGTGTTCCCTGTTTCAAACATCGTCCAAAACCAGCATCGCAGTTAATGGCAGATTTGCCATTTCATCGGGTAAACCCCCCAAAACGAGCATTTGAAGCTACTGGCGTGGACTACACTGGCGCTTTGGAAATTAAGGCATCTCGGTTTCGTGGATATCATACCTACAAAGCATATATCGCTGTTTTCGTTTGCTTAGCAACCAAAGCAATCCATTTGGAGGCCGTCACAGGATTGTCTACCCAGCATTTCCTATGGGCTTTGCAGCGTTTTATTGGACGCCGCGGATTTTGCAGGCATATGTACAGCGACTGCGGCACAAATTTTATGGGTGCGGATAAATCGCTTCAATTGTGGAAGAAGGAATTTGTAAAAGAAATGACAACGACTGTGCTACCTGAATTAACATCTCGCAACATTCAGTGGCATTTCAATCCTCCACACAGCCCTAATTTCGGAGGCTTGTGGGAAGCGAACGTGAAAGCAGTCAAGAGGCATCTGTTTCGTACTTTCCAGGGGGGTCAAGATGACCTACGAGCAGTTGAACACAGTTCTCGTGCAAATAGAGGCATGTTTAAACTCTCGACCCTTGTGCCCGTTGACGTCCAATATTGAGGATCTCTCGGCTTTGACTCCGGCTCATTTTTTTGATCGGTGATTCCATGATGTCTCTACCAAATCCCACCACAGCGGATAAATCTTTGGACTTGCAGTTTTTTTGACGGCCAACGACTGGTAAGGCAGTTTTGGAAGCGTTGGAGCGCAGACTGGTTGTCACATTTACAAGCTCGCCCAAAATGGTGGCAAGTAAAACCCAATCTAAAGGTAGATGATATAGTCATAGAACTGCATCCCAGATCAGACAACCTCGTACGTGTGGCTTCCGTTAAAACCTCGTCAGGAATATATAAGCGATCGCTTTCAAAACTTTGTCCTCTGCCTTTAGTTTGCAGCTCAGTAGCTAAAGGTCTCGATTCATCAAATTAACGACAATTATTTTGCACATCTTTGATCCAACACATGCATGCTCTAACAAACACTTGTCTTTTCACAGCGTTTAATTGGCAACAAGGGAAAGCACTGGAGTTTAATACTGGGATCAGTATTGGCGGGCGGCATGTTCGAGCATCTATTAAGAGTATTTCGTAGGAGACAAAGAGTGTGCTTAATGCAGTTTTCTACGCTCTCGAGACGTCCCAGAAGCACAAAAGACGAATGCCAAAATCCGACAAACCACTCTTTGGCAAGCGGTGTTCGGTGCTGGTCGGCCTGTGTCTTTGATTTTATACCTTGAAGAACCCTAAAATTTTGATATAACTTAACCTTCGTAATTAAATCAGTTGTTTTTGATATCTAGTGAAATTTGTTAAATAAACTTAATCTTGAAGTTACTTCGGTTGTACCTATTTTTTCTCTTGTCGAATGAATGTCCCCAGAGCGGTAGACGCTCAGCATTGACAATTTAGCATTTGTCACAACAATAGTCAAGAATGCTGATGTATGTTTTGTCTGTGGCGTGGGTCTCTGACATGAGCATTATGTCAATCTGGTTTTCTTGTACTTCTTACTTCTTTATTTCTAGGATATGGAGCGTGTAACGGCCCGAATTGGCCGTACAATTTTTTTCCTTATTCTAAGTTTCCCTCCCTTGTTTTGGTTAATAAAAAGGTCTAAGCTAAGAACAAGCTAAAGAGCATCTCTAAGCAACAAAGGCGCGGAGGGAACACAACGACGTGGAGACCCAGAGCGAGCCGAAGTTCTAAACGCATGCATAGATAAAACGAAAGAACCAAAAACGACAGCCGAGCAGAGGCCAGCGCAGGCATCGAATCACCCGGGCAGAGGGCAGAGCGAGAACAGAAGCCCAAAATTATGTCGCGACCTGCACTTACACTATAAAAATGCAGGCCCCGCTCGGGCGAGCAGAGGGCGGATGAGCAAAAGAGAGCGTATGCAAGACGATTGCTACTCATTACAAATATGCAAGCGCCGATCGTGCGAGCAGAGGATGCCAGCAGAGGACGACGGCAGAGGACGGCAGCAGAGGAAAAGAAGTACAATAACTTTGGGCTGGTAATAAGTTTTGGCGAGGGAGAGAAATCACTTATCCCCGAGGCCCAGATTCGATCAGACGTACTTTTTGGCACCCGTTCGACACGGCTCTGCGCTCCGCGTCACTGGACCACGTGCCAGGCCCCGTTCCAAGTCTCGCGACGAAAGTGGAAAACAATCCTAACTCCGTAATCCGCGAAAGTGCACCTGCTCATCACCTACTTCTGGAATTATCTTCGAGGCCCAGTTTGGAAAGGACACATTTTTCGGCACCCGCTCGTCGCGGCTCTGCACAACGGCACGCGATCAGAAACCGCTTGGAAAGAGGCCCCGCTCCAGCATCGCCGAGGATCAAGTCGCACCCCAAGCCCCGAGCTTGCTAAGTCTGTCTGAGTGAGTAGTGCTAAAACATAAGGAGTGCGGCATCCTGCCGCTGCTCCCGCGTGTGTGCCGCTTCCGGCGATCACAGCCAGGCGCTCAGCCTCTGTGTGCCCGTGAGCGCATCGCTTCCCGTTACCCTGGCAACTGCTATCGGCGACCAGCCTCAGTTGTTTTCCCCATATTTTCCGTCTTTTTGCAACCCACACTACCGTGAGCCCGACCCCTCCATCTCCGTCGGCTCACCCTCTATCAAAATTTCCGACAGTCCCGCAGATATAAATTTTCTGTAAGCGATCCTGGACAGACTGAGTCATATTCCAGCCAGGAAACTACTTTTGAAATGGCGCCCGAACAGGGACTCTAGGGAATAGGATCTTTAGAGGATTACATCCTTCGTGACTTAAAACGTCACCAGTGTTTAGCGCAAAAAGAAAATTTGGAAAAATTTCTTCTACGAAAGTTCTAGGGAAAAATCCTGATAGTCGTGGGGAAAAGATCATAAGAAACAAATTATAACCATCGAGGAAAATCTAAGCATAGAATTATCGTAACCAGAAGAAGCATTGCCTTGTCCAGACGCCGGAAAATTCTTGTTTTCATAGGGTAAATTATTCGCACGCGTCACTCGCCACTACATTGTTATCAACCGCCCCGTACTAGCCGCACGCCGAAATTTTAGCGCTAAGTTAAACCGTAGATTTTTGCATGAATTTTCCTATATTTTGATTGAATTCCGCTGATACTTAATTAAGTCTGCCTGATCTTCCCGAGCCACCTGAATACGTAATTAAGTCATCCTGATCTGCCGACTGACACACTATGGGGAAACAATGGATCTACGAGGCCAGGAAGGAGCAACTCGAGGAGGCCTGCAAGGAGTTCGGGTTATCTGCGGAAGGCACCCTGGCGGACCTGAGGAGGCGGATGTCCGCATACATG